ACCAAAATCTCTGATAAAAGTAATAACATATGATTTTTCTCTCTAAGGACCACCACCCCCAGAATAAACAAACTCATAATTACTAACCACCAAAAGAATCATAGTCCGGATAATAATAGGTTTAACAAAACTGACAGTAGCAATAGTGGTTACAGTATCAATACAGTAACCACTCGAAAAATTACAATAACAACAGCAAAAACAACAAAAACAATGACAACAAAACAAAAAAATGGAACCTTCAAGTTGATCTGGAACTCTTTCATTCCATCGATAATTCGAGCTATCAACGTGGGCACATAGACGCCTCCGTAACTCTCACCCATAATATAGGTCGAGTGGTTTCTGAACGACGGGTACTTCGTGAAAAATGCTTTCACTGCTTCATAATTCTCCAGAGAAGTCTACAAAAGAATACCAAAAATACCAGAAATATTGAGATGTGAAAGAATCAGAATCTGTTTGGCTAAAAAAACTGGTCCTTCATTCATGTGACTGCGTTATCAATATAGCTGAATATTGCCGTATTCCGTCACAAGTCTGTGATGGTTTCACAATCACAATGCGTAAAAATATTCATAAAATTATCGCCAAGTTCCTGCAACGATCACGTTGTTGTGATTCAACACAGAAGAACGACAGAACACGAATCGGTGTGAATTCCGGGCGTCATACATTTTTTGACCTACGTTGTTCCAGTGGACCTGTTACATTCACTCGCATTTCGGAACCGTTTATATTCCCTTTCAAAAGTTTTGAAAGTAATCACAAACGGTTGGCACTGATAAGCGAAAGATAAGAAGTATGATTTGATCAATTCACGGTTCGAGAGTGACAGGAACGATCTCAATTCAATGTACCACTTTTCTGCTCATCAGTTCATCACTCGCACTATCCACTACCTACACATTCGGGTGCTGCACAGTTCCACACAAATTCGAAAAAAGTAGAAAAAGCGTCATTTGCATCTGTATATCTGCGGAAATTCCGACATTCAGCAGCCATATATTTACCTGATCATCACTGGTTGTTATATTACCGTCTGTCGCATATGAAAATCCGACACCAGCCGGTGACTCAATATAAACCACTGATGCCATCTGCAAAAACCATTTAAATGAAAGCCTTTACCGGGTTTGCCGAAAATTCCGACCGGGCACTTACCCAATCCCGGGATCAGAATCGGGATTAACGTCAAAATTCAAAAGTTAGTCGCGATTCCGAAACCCCGGGATGACGTGCTAACCCCTAATCATAATCATACCTTATTCCAAGCGTGTTCATTCGCCCGAAGTGTTT